CTCCTAATAGTTGTCCCAGTATGTCGACCACCATGTCGCCATTATCCCCACAAGTTAATCAATCAACGCTTCAGTCTAGCCAGAACAAACCATTTTCATTCACTGCTCCTGCTGCTCAAACTACCTTCAACTTTGCTCCAAGTCCCGTAACAACTGCATCACCATTCATCTTTAGAGCAAAACCACTGGCCTGAATGGCAGAATTTTTGCGTAAGCGATGAAAAAAGATATATCCTTTCCAATACCCTATTTGATACGTTGGATGTCTCATTGTGAAACGTTTTTCCAAAAACTTATCACACCAATTTTTTATCTTCCTAAAACCTGAAAACTTTCGCCAGTCGTTGGATGTGAGTGGGTGAGGGTTGTGGGTGTGAGTGTGGGTGTAAGTGGGTGTGCGGTGTGAGTGTTCTTTGCAGCAGCACCAATACCCACACCCACACCCATACACTGCACAATGACAATACATCGTTTTCTATTCTCGATTTGCATAATATGGAAGGAATAGGAAAAAAAATGAAAATTAATCTTATATGCAAGCCAATATAAAGAATGAGTATAACATAATTCTGGTGATCAGAATAGACTTACTGAAAAAACAATATTCGCTAAAACTCTTTGTTTTCATAGTACAAGATTTTCTAGTATGTTAGAAGCAATGCGGCACCTGATCACAATATGTATTGCATGTATGATATTCAAAACAAAATCCCTAAATTAAAATTCCTATTTGGCCACTGGTGTAAACGTTAATTGATTAATTATCCACAAATGTGGATTTCATTTAGGGATGAATTCAGGAAACCTGATTTGTGGTAAATGTTAGACATTCTATAATTATAAGCAGAATAGTAGAGTTAACACAAATACTTGAATGGTATTTATTCGCAAACTATCGCAGTTTCTGCTTTTTCTAAGTATTGAAACTAAAACAGTTTGCACTGGTACAAGCTACATATACTTAGTCTAAGAAAAAAAACAATAATCTCTAGATTTTCAGCAACATGTGAGGTTATGTTGAAATTTGTCCGTATTATTTATTAGAAAAAGTTTAAGTGAATAATAAACTTATAAGTTCATTTGATTTTTCTAATCCATTTATCAATTGCTCGATTAACTTCGTCTGGTGTTTCTTCCATTACCCAGTGCCCTGCATTTAATTCAATCATTTCATAATTTGGAATAAACTCGCTTTGTTCTGTACTAGAAAAGATAGGACATACATCAAATGACTCTTCTTTTATAAAGAGAACTGGCCGTTGAATCGTTGGATCCATATTTTTTTCATCATTCCAATCGATATTTTCAATTGCTGCTTTGTACCAATTTAATTTTGGTTGCATTCCTTCGGCAAGATATTGACGAAGAATTTCATAATCATTCTCTGTTAAATATGAAGCTCGAACAGTTCGTTTTCCATTTGTTACCCATTCTCTCAACTTGCCA